CACAGGGCCCAAACTAGTAGGGGACAGCAGGGGAGATGGAAGGGTTAATGTGGCTGGGGGAGTCACGGCCCAGAGGGCTGAGCTATAGAGTTACCCCAAGAGGCCTGAGGATAGGAGTGCAGGCTAGGAGAGTTAGCCGGTGATGCAGGTCCAGGGAAGCAGAGAGAGGTGAGGGCAGGGCCAGGTCCAGAAGCGGTGCTCCTGGTGCCCAAGAAAGGCGCTAAGTTGGTCCCAAGAGGCCTGAGGATAGGAGTGCAGGCTAGGAGAGTTAGCTGGTGATCGGCGCAATGACTCTTAAAGTTATTTTCATTAATTCATTCTAGTATTCAGAGTGAACTTTTGATTCATTGAATTCTGGAAAATTATGAAGCAGTTTCTCTTCATGCATTGCTTCTCTACTGTTCTCTCTATCCCATTTATTCTCTTAAAAATGCCTTCTAATTAACCTGTTTATCTTTTATTTTTCTTTTGTCTATAAACATTCTACATGAATTCTTCCAAATCACCAAGTCTCTTCAGCTATATGTAGTCTGTGAAATCCATTTCTCTGTATTTAATATTTAAAAGCATATTTTTAAGATTTCTTATTAGTTTTTATCACAGTTGCTGATTTTTCATTTTATGTGAATGCAAACTATAGTATGCTCTTTTTAATAGAATAAATGTATTCATTTACCTTTGAAATTTCCTAAGTACTTTATTAACTTTGAGTAACCACAAAATGGCATTCATATTTTAAGTGTTTTATTAACTCTACAGATGACACTCAAATGACAACAAGGTTCTATAGTGAAAAAATACCATAAGTTGAAAACTACCATAGAAAGGTGTATTATGGCATCAAATCTACTGAACAGTTTAGCCAAAGAATAAATGGTGTCTTTTCTTTTCCCTAGTGATCATATAGCTAGGCAGGAATACAGGCACTGCCACAACCCAGTATGGCACACTATCAATCACAACATGTTATTACTGGCTTGGGATTTTGTTATTTGGATTATGGTTTCCACTGAATTCATATTCATACCATCGTAAAACTAAAAAATAAGTAAAACAATTGTGAATTGGGGCCTCCACATTTTGGCAGCTGGTTTCTGTGTAACGTCTCCTGCACAAGCAGGAAGTGAGTTCTTATATGACTCCTCTTCACCTTATTTTCCTCTGTGCTTATCCTTGTTTATCAATAATGAGTTGTCATGCCTGATAATACACAATTTTGGTGGAAGTGTTGAAGGGGACACTGGGAATAGCACATACATGTTTACTAGTACATTTGGTTATTTGTTGGTTATATGTTTGGTTCCTGACCCCGGAGCTTTTATGAAATTGAGTCAGTTTTCCCCAATCCTTTGCTATAGATAATAGTCTCCACTTCCCAAAACACACTGTCCTGCTCTAGGTTAGTAGTAAGATGGCACAAGTTTAGGCTCTGTGTGACGAGGTTAACCCCAGGCATCCACTTATTTATGGGTCATCATTTTTACCCCATTACTCTGCAAAGGCCAAGTTCTCCATTGTCGCTTTTCTGTTCATTGAAGAGTTTAGAAAATTTGATTTCATGACTTAGTATCTGGCCCTGATCCTATGGGATGGTCTTTTTTAAAAAAGAAAGAAATCAACAAAGAAACTAAGAATGAAAGAAAGATACTAAGAAAGAGAAAGGAAGATGCTTATTTCTCATGATTTTACATTTTATTCTTTATTCTCTTACCAAGCTGTACTGCATGTATAGCAGAGGGATGTACATGAATAATTATGAACCAGCAAGCGTGTTCATTTATCAGTGCAGCTTTCAAGCAATGTTTTCTTGATTGAGTCTTAACAATCTGATTTCTTATTAAGTATATTCAGCATATGTTTTCAAAGAATATAATTGTACAAAATGAAGTCTTGAAAATTGCTTTACCTACATTAGTTCATACACTTGGAATAAGCACATAATAGGCACATATAGAGAATGTGGCTGAGATGTGCAGAGTTTGAGAACAGGCAATAAGTGGCTTCCTAAAACTAGCTTTGTGATGTGTTTATCTATCTGTAAGTTAACCATAATAAAGTGATTTTCAAAATATCTGAGATAATCAACTTATAAAGAGATAAGGTTTATTTGGGCTCTTGCTTTGCAGAATGCAATGCGTAGTCATTGGTCCCTTTGCTTTTGGGCCTCTGGTGAGTCAGCACATCATAAGAAAGCATATGCAGAGCAAATTTGCAAACCTTATTGCTAAGAAGAGGAGACAGGAAGGGGCTGGGGTTCTCCTAGCCCTGCAAGAGAATGTGCCAAAAGAGCTGAAATTCGCCCACTAAGATCCACTCCTTAAAGACTTCTTCAACCCCTAAAAGTGCCAAGCAGGAGTCCAAACCTTCCACATGTGGCCCCCCTTTGAAGGGTAACATGCACAAATTATAATGATGATTATTTCTATATTAAATATTCCCCACTGGGAAATACAGAACAAAGCTTGTCTTTTCTTCAATGTACTTTCTCAGAGAGAAATCTATGGGAGATGAACACAATGAGGCAGTATCTTTCCATTTAATAAAGTGGATGTGAATTATGGGGAGAGCCTGTGAAAATGCAGCAGCTCAGGCAAGCCCAGGAATGTAGACTAAGTTTCACATTTCTAACGTAGTATGAAGGCATGTTGATACTGGTTTTGAGGAGCAAACTTTTTGGATCATGGTTTTTCTACACATATCAAGAGATGCATACCCAGGATCAATTAATTACACACACACACACACACACACACACACACACACACACGTATACTTTTTAAATTTTAATTTGTCTGTGTCTATATGTGTATGTGAATGTGCATGATGTATGTATATGTATGGGCCTGTGTCTGTGTATGTGTGTAGGTGTCTGTGCTCAAGACTGCACAGAGAACAGAGGAGGTTCTCTTGTCCTATCACTCTCTACCTATTCCCTTGAGACAAGGTCTGTCAATGAACTTGGAACTAGCTGGCAACCAGAAAGCCCCAGCAATCCTCCTGTCTCTATTCCTCCAGCCCCCCACCCAACACACACACACACACACACTCACACTACTGGGTTATAGGTGTATGCAGCCATGCCCAGATGTTTGATAGGTTCTGGGAATTTGAACTCAGGTCCTCATGTTCAAGCAGCAAGTTCTCTTACCCACTGAGACATCGCCTTAACTCATAAATATTTTTCTTATTAGAAAGATGTTCAATGGAGGGCTCCAGAGGATATCTGATATGCTGTTAATATATCTAATTGCCAAAGACAGCATGAGAATTTGGATATCTTCTACAGGGACTTGCAAAAATATAAGACAATATTAGTCATTTTTCTTTTCCTATTTTGGAGAATATTTTTTTCATTAAATTATTGCCTATGTTAGCATGCAATAGGTTTATTTAATTATAAAATGAATCAACAAATAATTACTTTTCCAGTCCTAGGTTTTTTGGTTTCTGGCCCTATTTGAATCTAGCCCACATGCTTATACCAGACTCTAAGGCTGTGAGGCCAGCTTCAGCATGCTTTTCCTCCTTACAACCACCAAGACCAGTGTTGAGATCTGATGAGAAAGAGAACTGGAGGGTACAGTCCTGGTTTTTAACATGGTAAATATCATAGATGTAACTCACAAAACCAGTTTTGAGAGCTCTCCAATAAATTTTAAAGAATGAGAGAGTCCTTGAAATATTAGATTCACTGCTTTCTGCTTTATTTTTTTCTTTCCTTGGCAAAAGCATGAAGAAAGGGAATTATACTCTCCTAATTTACAGCTATGTTAAAAGTACACCAGAACCCACATATTTTGTAGAACTACTCTGCAAAAAGTACTCATGGACATTTTTTGAAGAAGAAAAACAAAAAGAATTTGGCTACGGCTGGTGCTCTCTTTAATGGAATGTCAATAAACATCTAGGGAGTTCTTGTTCAAGTCCCTTAATGTTGGGAAATGACAGAACAGGAAAACAAGTGAGTCTTAATCCCAAAATATGCTGTGCTGCCCCAAAAGCAGATGAGTCATTTCATCCTTGGCTTCCTTGAAGCCTCATGTTTTCTTGCCTGTCTCAAACAGAGTATCTGGGAAGGACGTTTCACCCAGGGTAAGTCAGTGCTTTCACTAATGATCACCCTGTTTCTCTTCAAGAGAATACACATGGAGCAATATGTTAAACCATGCTTCTGTGAGTCTGTACTTTCCCACAAAGGACATGTTCGTCATGTCTGTTTCCTAGCTTGTGGTGCTGTCTGGACGAGGAGTTAGAATCATTATGAAGTGTGGCCGAGCTAGAAGAAATAACTTACTAGAAGTGAGCCTTTGAAAGTTATGCCCAGCTACCCAGCCCTTGGTTCCTGCCTATCTCTCTACTTCCCAGTCTGCCATAATGTGAACAGACTTTGTTACCTACTCTTATTCCCATGGTTCTGCCAGGCTCCCCACCCTCTGCTGTGATAGACCAAAACCTACTGAAACTGTGAGCAAAAAACATAAATATTTCCCCAGTTAATTTGTTTCTGTCAGGTATTGGGATTGTAACAGATATAAATTCCTTTGATGACTAAATATAGCAAGAAATGATTCTAGAAGCTTCAGACCAGTAGTTACTCCAGGTGAGATAGTTAAATTGTTCCTTTTTATCTGTACCACTTGAGCTTTGTTGAAATGCTGTGACTTACTCTTTTCAAATGTATATTAATGGAAAATAACAGACATATTTTTGTACTTTGCAATCCATTTCAGCATTTTGCTGGTTTTTCCAGTTTTGCTGATGTGTAAACTTTGCGTGGGATGAAGCACTTAGAGATGCTGTCTCCTTTACACCCGAGGACAGCACAGGTGAAATTCTCCACAAAGTAGGTTGAGCTGTTTCTTCATTTCCTTTGTAAGTGGATTGACTTCACTGTCTTAACACACAGCTGCCTTGGACTTGCTTATATCTTCAGGTCTGTCTGCAATAAATATAGTTAACTTCCTTAAAAGGACAGTTTCTTTTAAAGGAAGTGAATTACTGAGGTTTTAGTTTAGGCTTTAATCTTTTTAGCTCCTTGTTTTGTAGTAAGTGTTATAAACAAAACCAAGCAAACAAAAATTAAGAACCAGAAATGCCAGACAACTACATAGATTATGAACCATTATGTGTTTGATATTCAAGTTCCTCAAGGCACGTGACTATTGCATATTACTCACTGTATAGTGGGGAAGATAAGTCATTTGTTCTCTGCTCAAGTAAAATTAGGTAATGACATAGTGTCACCATCTGAGTCTCTTTCACACTTGGACCTTGAGAATATAAGAGGTATTATTAAATTGAGAGAGTCCTGGTTACTTTCTTAAGCTGTGATTCTCTTTTCAGTCAATTTAGATCAAGATAAAAATACAAATCATCATTATTATTAATTGCCTTTCACTTCTCAGAAGTATTACATAAGGTTAAGCTAAAATTAGGGAATTAAACACTTATTGAAAGTCTATAAAGCCTATTGTGCTAAGCATCAGAACCATGTGCAGATGTAGATAACAGTCCTCAGGTTTTATGGAATGTCAGTCCAGCATATACAGGAATTTTAAATGCTAGGTTGCTCAGCATATCATTTTAATAATCTTAAGGACAGCAGGTATAAGAAGACATGGATGAAAAATATTTTTTAAAAAACTTCTACTTTATAGCTCTCATAAAATTCAGTGATAATAACCCCTGGGAAATGCATTCTTCAAACTCTTTGAAAAATCTTTTCTTTGCATCATGCTTTTCTTTAACCTTATTACCTGGAATGGAATATCTTAGTCTTAAATACTTTTATTATTCACAGACTTTGTGATTCTCTTCCAAAAATAGCCTTGGGAAACCCAGTGAGAGTTAAACTCTGAGCTAAAATTTAAATGCACATGAAAACATTAAGACAAAGCCATTCAACTACTAGAATGAGTTTTCTTTTAACCCTTTTCTGTCTTCAATACTATTTCAACTATTTTGCTGAATTACATGACTAAACTATTTAAACATGGATATCTGTTTATTATGATGTATTTGCTGCTCATTTGAAGCACTTGACAAATATTCCAAATCTTCATCCTTATAAATCGCCAGTGGCGTAAGTGTTCTACTTGCCAGTCATTTTCAGAGGAGGAGCCAAGAACATGAAGTGTCTAAATTACTTCCATGGATCCCACTGCCTGTATGGGCGTAAAAACTTGTGTGTCTTAGCTTACTGCTGTTTTTGAGAGATATGATCAGCCATATAGAAAGTTAGTGTGTAGGAAATTTTCTCATGGTTTGATAAAAAAAGAATGATACTATTGTTCAGTTCTACCATTTTGCACAAACTACTAAGAACCACTTTGACTAATGTTATTTTCATGCCGCAGACTCATGTAGAGAGGCAGACATGTAAACCACATTTGTGAGGGGTAATCTGGCCTTGGTTTTAGGATATCAGTATTATCTGCAATATTTAGTAAGATTAAACAGAAATAAGTAGAATTAAATAGAAATACAATTGAAGTCTCCATCTTAATAATAAATGTAAAATTTCCACAGTCTGTGTATGAACCCAGATAAAACCTACTGGCAGTTCTGAGACATGCACGGGTGAGTGATTCAAAAGGAATGACACAAAGTACAGTAATACAGTAAGTGCTAAAAGTTTAGTTAATTGATACTACAATCGTCATAAATGGTATAAGCTATAAGCTAGTTAATTAACATCAAATCAGCAACCACACAATAATTCAGCTCAACTGTTAAATATTATATATTCTTAAGTTCTTTGAATAAAAATATTATGTGTAATATGCAAGACACTGGGGTAAGGCTAGGCATAATTTGGCAAGCAAAAGAGGGAGCTAATTACACTAACTTTAAGGATCATGCTTTTATTAACCTTGCTGGATTCTGGATTCTAATAGTTTCCCTCTGGTCTTCCTTCCTACTTCCTCCCTTTACCCTCCCTCCCTCCTTTCTTCCCTTTCTTCCTTCCTTCCTTCCTTCTTCTCTATCCCTCCTGCCCTCCCCTCTTCTTTCCTTCCTCCTTCCTCCCTCCCTCCCTTCCTCCCTCCCTCCCTTCCTAGACTGGCTTTATACAGCCACTATATACCTTCTCCCCCCCTCTCCCTCCCCCCTCCTTCCTCCCTCCCTCCCTTCCTTCCTTCCTTCCTTCCTTCCTTCCTTCCTTCCTTCCTACATTTTTCTTCCTTTCTCTCCTCTGAATGGCTTCATTCTGAGTCATTTCTATCTTGTGTCACCTCTTAGATAAGATTCTTAACAGTAAGAAGGACATAGTGCTTCTATTTTCTTCATTTTCTCCCTCCCACTGTCTCTTGTCCACGGTCTATTCACATTCCTTAGCTTCCTTTCCACACCCTTAGGGTGAGGCCTTATGCTTTTTCTGTCACATGCCTTATATTTTTGCCAATGGACTACAAAAATGCCCATTCTTGGAAAAGACAAGTAAAGGAAGTGTACCTTTTCTACTTTCTTGTCCTTTTCTATGTCAGTCTTAGGAGCAACAAAATGATTGGGCAGGACCATGGGGTAGAACAAGATGGTTCCTGAAGGACTGTGGGGCAGCACTGTACCAACCACTAACACACACTGGACTGTAACATGTGCTAAGAATATACTCTTTATGAAACCACTGTGCCACTAAAAACTTGAGGGTGTTTACAAGTAGCTAAGCTCTGTGTGTGTGCATGTGTGTGTGTGTGTGTGTGTGTGTGTGTGTGTCTGTGTCTGTGTGTGTGTCTGTGTGTGTGTGTGTGTGTGTGATGTACATGTTGATATGGTGTTTGAACAAGACCTGGCCTGTGTTATGCATGTGTGGTGTGTGGAGGCCAGAGGTTGATATTGGATGTCTTCTTCAAATGCTCTCTACTTTTTGAGACAGAGTCTCTCACTGAACCTAGTGTGTATCAATTTGGCTAAGCTGCAATTAGCCTTTGCCTACCTTCCCACCTTCCCAGCACTGGGTTATAGACACATGCCACTGTGGCTGGCTTTTTACATGCTGGGTATCAAAATCCAAGTGCTCGTGTTTGTGTGGCAAACAATTTATTGTGCTGTCTCCCCAATTCCCTAGGCTTTCTTTTAAATATATGGTCTCTAGATCTCCTGACCCCACAGATAAAGTGCATCCAGCTAAAGTTTGGATAGATGCTCCAGGTGAACTTTCAGTGGAAAGAGTTTCTCAGAATCAGTTGCTTTAGACAGGTATATAGAGAGGGTCTCTATGCACTCACCTGTGAGGAAAAGATTGATGTTATTCAAACACATAGATTGGGTTTCCATGAAAAGGTTCATTTTTGCTATTAGATAAAAGGCATAAAGAAAAGGAATAAGCAAATAGCCATTAACACCTGAATACATTTTCAAAAGAATGCACAGATGCTTTTCATGCCTAATATGTGTCTATTTCTGCCTCCTCTTTACCAGTTATTTCACTAGACCCTAGAGATATGCATTCCAATGATGAAGACAGATGGGGAAGGAGAGAAAGAGAGAAGTACAGATAGAAAGAGAGTGAGAGTGAGCTGGAGAACAAAAGCCAGATGGAGAAAGGGAGAAAAAAAGATACATACACAAAGAGAGACAGA